CCTATTATCTCCATAAGAAGTAGGATTCGACGAAAACACCATGAGACTTTTTTGTTGGAAATTTTGTCAGCTACAAAAAATGTCTAGAGACATTTCCTCCTAGAAACGAGCGTTCTCTAGATAAATGGGTAATTAACAAAAGTGGTAAATGTGAAATTTTTGAGAATTTCAACTTTTGCGTATTGTTTAATTTGTAATTATCTCTATAACGAGTAATTTCAGAAGAAAACATCATAAGACTTTTTTGTAGAAAATTTTGTCAGCTACAAAAAAAAATGAGGAAATTTTTTTCCGAAAACCACTCCCTCGGGAGATAAATAAGTCTTTTTCAAAAACGTGGAAATTGACTTGAATTTCTTACGTGAGTTTTGAGGCAAATATGCAACCGCTGAGATTTCCATATCTATCATCGAATTGCAGTTACTTTTTCCTTAAAATTACCGCAGGGAGAAAATTTGAGAGGGGATAGGTGGAGCGTGGCTGAGTATGTGCAGCTGGAAATAGATTGTTGGAAAGAACTGAAGCTATTTGAAGTGGAAGAGGAAAAAATCGAGTGAATGCTTTGTCATTTCGACTTCATGCGAATGTTCAGAATAATTTTCAAAAGCGGGGCAAAATGAAATAGTAGAAAGTTTCGTTGTTGAAAGGGCAAACGGGAGAGACGAGCGAAGTGATCGCTCCACTCATCGCTCCCATTCGATCCTTAAGGTGTTTCGGTTGAAGAGTCAAAATAATGAAAAAAAATTGGAAAATTCATGGGAGAAATTTCCAAGTATGCTGCATCATTGAGAATTCGTGCACATTTTCTTCAGATGTCAGTTTCAAGGAAAAAAATAATGAAATTTGAATGTTTTTGGAACCCCTCCAGCTATAACCTCCGAGGTTACCCCACTCTCAATTAGGGAAATTTCCATGGCACCCAAAAAAATAATGAACTATTGAGGAAAAACTAGTGGGTGATAAATCAAATTTTTCTTGAGAACACGTATAAGTTTCCGATTTTTTTCACATTTCATAAGAAAGTTATTTGAACAAATGATTCGGAAAATTATGAGTTTCGGGGCAATTACGCCCTCACGCGCAGGCGCGTGATTCGAATGTCAGTGAGCATCATGGGAAAGGTATGGGTTGGACCATGGAACTGAGAGAGAGAAAACACTCGACAGGTTTACCAACTCGAGACGCATTTTAATATTATTTCAATAATTAGAATAACATCAAATAAAAATTATTCGACACCCGTAGGTGATGAGAAAAAAATCAATCAATCTGATGAATAAAATCAATATTCAAAAAATGTTCAACTGCACACTTAAATAGTTACTTGAAAATTGGAAAATTTCGTGCTCAGCGATTGAATCAGGGCTCGAGAACAATAAGGTTCCCCTTGCGTTTCACCGCCCGATGATCTACAGGCGAAACACCTTAAGGTCTGACGCTTCTGATTACTCTGCTCGTCTTTCCCGTTCAAGCCTCAAGAAAATTTCACCTTAAATTTATCTGAAATTTGCTCTACATTCGCTTCTCGCTACCGTTCCACCTCGCCCCGTCCCCTATCGAAGGAATCGAATATCAAGTCCGTGAATAGTTTCGATTGACAAATAAATCAGAGGAGAGTCATGTGACATTTGTCGAATAAACCGCAGTCACCGCAGGATCCTTGTAATTGAATAGCACAACATCTAGATTGCCATCGTGACGAAAATCCAGTGCATGATCCAATCAATAATTTAGTTAAGTCACAAATTGCGCGGAGGCGATACCGAAGTCCCACCTCTTATCACTCTTTGGAACGAAAAAATTATTGAAACTACAATTTTTCGAACCAACAAACGATTGTCCACAGCCACACGAGCCTCACGTGTTGAACATACCGACTGCACTAAACTATTTTCTCTTGATTCCGCAGTGATGCATCGGGTGTCTCTGTGGTTGTGCCTCGGTGTATATGCACAGGAAGATAATACCCGGAGTTCAAGTGAATATAATTAAATACTCCAGTGAAATGCGATACACTTGACTTTGACGAAATTCTTCGAGGTGTTGTCAAGGGGATTGAGAGTATAATGTGAGGGCACGCGGTATTCCAATTTTATTTTTGGAATTTTTTTAATGCTCATGAATGTTGGTTGACGATAACGCTATCTGTGAATTCAGTTTATACTAGATTTATTTGGATAAACACACTAATGAAATGTTATGACTACTTGTTTAAAAGTTGATTGGTTTCGTCATGTGAAAATACAACTGTAAAAATAAAATGAGTTTGTCAATAGAGAATGTTCCAACGAACGTAATGGGCCCAATAACATTGAAATAGGGTAAAAACAGTGACTTGAAGAAACATTTGTAGACAGAATTTTTAGTAGTATTCAACAATTTCAACGAATGATAGTTGGGATTCATTAAATCGACGAATTTCCGCGGTGTTACATCCACCTGAACGTTATGAGTTCCAGTCAAGTGGAATTTATTGATTTCTATATTAAACATAGCCCAAGAATGGAGTTTTTTTTCGAAAATTTATTCTACTCCTCGGGGCTGGGATTAATTAAGCCCAATTGAATGCAACACAACTGGAAATAATCGATCGAATCAACATTAATTGTCAATCATTGACATTGTTAAATATCACTTATAATCCAGTTTATAAACATTTCTCCAAGTCACACATTCCATAAGATTTCAATGCACTTGGGCTCGATTAGTTCGTTGAGACATTTTCTATCAAGTTCGAACGATTTATTTGGATGAATACACTAATGAAATATTACGACTATTTGTTTAAAAGTTGATTGGTTTCCTCATGTGTAAATACAACTGTAAAAATAAAATAAGTTTGTCAATAGAGAATGTTCCAACGAACATAATGAGCCCAATAACATTGAAATAGGATAAAAACAGTGACTTGAAGAAACATTTGTAGACAGAATTTTTAGTAGTATTCAACAATTTCAACGAATGATAGTTGGGATTCATTAAATCGACGAATTTCCGCGGTGTTACATCCACCTGAACGTTATGAGTTCCAGTCAAGTGGAATTTATTGATTTCTATATTAAACATAGCCCAAGAATGGAGTTTTTTTTCGAAAATTTATTCTACTCCTCGGGGCTGGGATTAATTAAGCCCAATTGAATGCAACACAACTGGAAATAATCGATCGAATCAACATTAATTGTCAATCATTGACATTGTTAAATATCACTTATAATCCAGTTTATAAACATTTCTCCAAGTCACACATTCCATAAGATTTCAATGCACTTGGGCTCGATTAGTTCGTTGAGACATTTTCTATCAAGTTCGAACGATTTATTTGGATAAATACACTAATGAAATATTACGACTATTTGTTTAAAAGTTGATTGGTTTCCTCATGTGTAAATACAACTGTAAAAATGTTCCAACGAACATAATGAGCCCAATAACATTGAAATAGGATAAAAACAGTGACTTGAAGAAACATTTGTAGACAGAATTTTTAGTAGTATTCAACAATTTCAACGAATGATAGTTGGGATTCATTAAATCGACGAATTTCCGCGGTGTTACATCCACCTGAACGTTATGAGTTCCAGTCAAGTGGAATTTATTGATTTCTATATTAAACATAGCCCAAGAATGGAGTTTTTTTTCGAAAATTTATTCTACTCCTCGGGGCTGGGATTAATTAAGCCCAATTGAATGCAACACAACTGGAAATAATCGATCGAATCAACATTAATTGTCAATCATTGACATTGTTAAATATCACTTATAATCCAGTTTATAAACATTTCTCCAAGTCACACATTCCATAAGATTTCAATGCACTTGGGCTCGATTAGTTCGTTGAGACATTTTCTATCAAGTTCGAACGATTTATTTGGATAAAAACACTAATGAAATATTGTGACTATTTGTTTAAAAGTTGATTGGTTTCGTCATGTGAAAATACAACTGTAAAAATAAAATGAGTTTGTCAATAGAGAATATTCCAACAAACATGATGAGCCCATTTTGTGAAATTTGTGAATTGATCTATTCTTTTACTATTTTTTGTAAAAATTTATCGTTTTGAATTCAACACTTTTCCCTCTCCCTGAACTTCCCTTCTGGGAATTTGTTTAATTGAGAACCGCCTGCCACGCATCAACTCCAGTGATTTGCTCTGCTCTGGTGTGTTGGCATTTGCAGTGGGCAATTTTGATAAGACTTATAATTGAAAGCGTATTTATCACGCATTCTCCGCATTCGGTCAAATTAATTGACCGTCTGGAGTGAATTACTCCGGGCAATTCTCAGCGAGTGCTTTCCTTATTCGGAGTATGAATAGAGCGAGATCTTGTAAACACTGCGATGATGAATAAAGGCTTGTGGTTTTGTTCACAATGGACAGTGGCTATAATTTTCTACCGTAATTATAACGTTTACAGCGTCTTGTGTTCACTGTAACTGAAGTTAATGATCTGAACCGAAATGTTGTCATTAATATATCGGGATTGGCTGAGTGAAATTCCCCATTTTTTTTTTCATTCTCAAGGTCATGTCATAATCTTCAAAATGAAGTTTGACTCATGCAAATTGCATCGTCCACTCCGTAGATATCACAATTGAAATAAAATTGTTTACATCCAAAAAACTCGAACGAAAATCCCAAATCTCCACTTCAATCAATCATCAATAACTCGGGATTGGCTGAGTGAAATTCCCCCAATTTTTTTTCACTCTCAAGGTCACATCATAGTCTTCAAAATGAAGTTCCACTGATGCGAATCGCGCCGTCCACTCCCGAGATATCTCGATTGCAAAAAAAAAGTTTGTGCTAAACTTGAAAAAAATCGTAAAAAACCTTCTTCACTTTTTCGTCACCAACCTCTCACACACCCCCCAACCACCCTTTATCCTCCCCGCCCACATGACAAAAAAACCCATGAGGTTAGGACGGTTCCGCAAGCGCGGGGCGGTTATTGACGCGCAAATTTGGCGCCCCAAAATGGTCGTCCCTCGTTCGAAAGCCCCGGAGCCCCAATAAATAATGGTAAACTCACCACTTCGCTGCATAATTCACCCCCTTTGTTTCATAAATCCTCCTCGCACATCACTCCCCAGTTATCGAGTCAATTTCCCCGATCGAACGCCTCGACAATTGATTCGCGACTGGCACTTTTGGACGCGCACTCACAACAAAACACAAAACACAATGAGCAGAGAGGAATTCAGGTTGTGGGGATAATCCAAATAGCCGTGACAGTTCCAGTGACAACTGTCGGCTGGACGCTAGCCTGAATTTTCAAATTCACTGGACACACCGGGGATTACGGGGAAAGGGCCGAGAGCAGGCGTTCTGCTTGGCTTTTCGTGTCCTTTGGCTCCGCCAGGCGATCCTTCTGGGAACTGTCGGCGCCTTCTCGGAACATTCTGATGGTAACGAGACTCGGGGAGTTTATCCCCGGTTCTGTCCGTCTGCAGTTAATTTTTTTTTGTGAATTTAATGCCCGGAATTCGGGGAAAACAAACGCACGTGGGGAAGGGCCAGTGATACTAGAGTGACACGAGGGCTTTTTGGGGATTCGATGGCTACGAGACTTCCGAAGATGATTACTGTCGCTCCGAGCGGAAAGCACAGTGCCACGTTGTTTTTCTTCCATGGATCAGGTGATTTTTCAGTCGATAATCGCTCTTTATTCTTTGCTCGATCTTTTTTTCATTCGATTTGATTTTGGCCTTTCGTGGCTGCGGATTTATCTTCGGAGCGAGTGGTTTTAGGGGGAAATATCAGAGGAGCTTTTTTGTAGAGAATTAAGTTTTCTACAAAAAATGTCTTTTGATATTTTTCCGTAGAGTCACTCGGTAGAGAGATAATCAAGTGTTTGTATAGGTTATTCTGATGACAGATTATTTATCGTTTGATTTTGACTTTTTGTGACTGGGGATTTATTTTCGGAGCGAGCGGTTTTAGAGGGGAATATGATAAAAGCTTTTTTGTAGAGAATTAAGTTTTCTACAAAAAATGTCTTTTGATATTTTTCCGTAGAGTCACTCGGTAGAGAGATAATCAAGTGTTTGTATAGGTTATTCTGATGACAGATTATTTATCGTTTGATTTTGACTTTTTGTGACTGGGGATTTATTTTCGGAGCGAGCGGTTTTAGAGGGAAATATGATAAGAGCTTTTTTGTAGCGAATTAAGTTTTCTACAAAAAATGTCTTTTGATATTTTTCCGTAGAGTCACTCGATAGAGAGATAATCAAATGTTTGTGTAGGTTATTCTGATGACAGATTATTTATCGTTTGATTTTGACTTTTTGTGACTGGGGATTTATTTTCGGAGCGAGCGGTTTTAGAGGGAAATATGATAAGAGCTTTTTTGTAGCGAATTAAGTTTTCTACAAAAAATGTCTTTTGATATTTTTCCGTAGAGTCACTCGATAGAGAGATAATCAAATGTTTGTGTAGGTTATTCTGATGACAGATTATTTATCGTTTGATTTTGACTTTTTGTGACTGGGGATTTATTTTCGGAGCGAGCGGTTTTAGAGGGGAATATGATAAGAGCTTTTTTGTAGAGAATTAAGTTTTCTACGAAAAATGTCTTTTGATATTTTTCTGTAGAGTCGCTCGTTAGCGAGATAATCAGTTGTTTGTGTAGATTATTCAGATGACAGTTTTCATCATTTCATTTTTATAGTATTCTTATGTCTTTAGGTTTGGGGATTTATCTCCGGAGTGAGTGATTTTAAGGAAAAATACCTTAAGACCTTTTTTGTAAAGAATTAAATTTTCTAAATAAAGTGTTTTATGATATTTTCCTCTAGAATCACTCATTACCGAGGTAATCAAACGTTTGTGCAAACTATTCAGATGACAGTTTTCATCATTTCATTTTCAACTATTTTTGTGTCTTTATTTTTAGGCAGCTCTGGAGCAGATGTCAAAGAATGGCTGGATATTCTCAACCGAAAGGAATTAAAGTTTCCAAACGTCAAAGTTGTGTATCCAACTGCTCCGTCTCAGCCCTACACCCCTCTAGATGGAATGGTAAAGAAAACATCTCAATTATTTCAAATTGTCCATTAATTTTTTTTTTATACCTGAATTATCAGGTAGATTAATAATATTATTGATATTATTATTAATTATTAGATAGATTAATGATTCAAATACAATTAATGCAGTAATTCAATTACAATTGTAATTCCACTATCCAAATCGTAAATTCCTTCATATAATATGATATGAAATGAAAATAAAATAAGAATAAAACAAAATGAAAAACAAAAATGAAATGAAAATTTATGGATATTCTTTGCTCCATGAAAAAGCCAAGCAACGTCTGGTTCGATCGAAAGAGGATATCGATAAGAGTCCCAGAGATTAAGGAATCCATTGACAAAATGTGCAAGGAGACTTCTAAACTAATTGAGGAAGAAGTGGAAAGTGGAATTCCAGAGAACAGAATTGTCGTTGGGGGCTTCTCCATGGGAGGAGCACTCGCCATGCACTTTGCATACAGATTCAAGAGGTCTCTAGCTGGTTGTGTGGCAATGTCATCGTTCCTCAACGATAACTCGGTGGTTTACGAGGTAAATCATGAGCGTATTCTCCCAGTCAACGACAAATGGAATTCCTCCTTGTTTAAGGCCCGGGTGTACTATCTTTCGAATGTTATCTGGATTTTTTTTATCTTTCGTAATCCAAAATTGTCAATTGAGTGGTATAGGGAGGGTAGGGTAAAACGGACACTTTTGACTTTTTTTGAAATATTCATGACGTCTTGAATTGTTCATGAAATAGAATAATTTTATTCTTCAATTGAAAGACAATGATTCCTCTTTGTGATGAGCTTAGACTGAGCTCAATTGATCAATCTGTTTCTGAGTTGTGAATATTTTTGAGAAAGTCAAAAGTGTCCATTTTACCCTACCCTCCCCTATCATGTAGAAATTCCCAAAAATTATGATAGAATGATAAGAAAAATAGAAAAAAATCTGAACTTTTTCAAAGAGCGTTTTTAATTGGGATTCAGAATGAGTTGGAAACAGTGGAAATTACAAATATCTGATTCGCTGTGGCAAATTATCTATTAGCTGTCATTTTCCATGGTGGATAACAAAACACTGACTCCTCAAGGGAAGTGACAGCTAGGTATCTCAATTTTCAAAACAGTGGTATGTAGTCATCTGCCATTTTTATGTGAGAAAAGTGTGATTACAAAATTCTCCAAAATATTACAACTTTTTTCAAAGAGCCTTTTCCGTAATAAATGTCTCTGTGGGAAAAGATTTACGAAATCAGTCTTGTTATTCAACTTATTCTGAATATAAATTAAAAATGCTCTTTGAAAAAATTAAGAATTTCTTCTACTTTTTTTGATTATTCATTCATAATTTTTCAAAACTTCTGCATGATGCAGGACTCAATTGACAATTTCAGATGACGAAAGATGAGAAAAACATCGAGATAGCGTTCGAAAGATAGTACATCCGGGTCTAAATTTAATTTTTAAAAAATACTTCAGGAGTTGAAGGACGAGGACAACACGGGAACCCCACCTCTGCTGCAATTTCATGGACTAGCTGACGCGATGGTGCCTTTCCAGTGGGGCGAGAAGACCCACAAGATTCTGAAGGAACTGGGGGTCGCGGGGGAGTTCGTGCAGCTGCCAGGAGTGGAGCATGAGATTGTTAAAACTGAAGTTGTCAGGTTGACGGAGTGGCTGGCAAAAGTCCTCCCTGAAACCCCTTGAAAATGTGGCATATGTCACTAAAAATAAAATTTTTAACGTTGTCGAATAATAATTTTCAATTTTGCCAGTGAAATTAATTTATTGTTTCTCTCGTTTTTCTTTTTAATTTATTAAGACAAGATTATTGCAACCGTTTCTATTTATCTTCAAGAAACTCCTACTCTTCAGCCATTAACAGTCATCACAGCAATTTTTGTCGAAAAACGAGGGAAGAACAGAATCAAGAGAAACAATTATTTTACTGATTGACAACGTTTTGAATACACAATCTTCTTCTTCACCAGGGCATTCATTTATTCTGCATTTAAGGATATACAAGTACTTTGGGTATTTTTTCTCCAATGAAATGCTTTTCTACTTTTGTAGTCGAGCTCTCTTCGCAGAGGTCATGACGAAAATTTTTTTATCTCCTTTAGATTTTGAGATATTTATTGAAAACTGATAGTCAAAATCGACTTGAACACTCGAACTCAATAAAGAAATAAATGAATAAATAAATAAATAAATCAATAAATGAATGAATAAATTATTAAAATAATGAACCACCCGAATTTACTCCTCTCGCATTCTTCTCAAAATAAATATATTCAACAAGTCATTCTGCCCAAAAGTCGGATTTTGACGTCAGATGACAGTGACTTCAAAAAATTGAAAAAAAACTCCATTCAATTTCAAAAATCTTGAATTTTTTTTTTCATTTTGAAGACATTTGAACTTCGAAATGACTCTATTCATTAAAATTACCGCATCAATGAATTCCATAATTCGTTAACTCATTAATTCACCAATTCATTGATTCACTAGTTCATTAATTCATTTACTGATCCCGCAAAGAGCAAAAAAATTTAAATACAACTCCATTCAATTTAAATTATCTTCAATTTTTTTCAACACTTGAACTCAATAAATAAATAAATAAATAAATACATAAATAAATAAATAAATAAATAAATAAATAAATAAATAAATAAATAAATNAATAATGAACCACCCGAATTTACTCCTCTCGCATTCTTCTCAAAATAAATATATTCAACAAGTCCCATTCTGCCCAAAAGTCGAATTTTGACGTCAGATGACAGTGACTTCAAAAAATTGAAAAAAAACTCCATTCAATTTCAAAAATCTTGAATTTTTTTTTTCATTTTGAAGACATTTGAACTTCGAAATGACTCTATTCATTAAAATTACCGCATCAATGAATTCCATAATTCGTTAACTCATTAATTCACCAATTCATTGATTCACTAGTTCATTAATTCATTTACTGATCCCGCAGAGCAAAAAAATTTAAATACAACTCCATTCAATTTAAATTATCTTCAATTTTTTTCAACACTTGAACTCAATAAATAAATAAGTAAATAAATAAATAAATAAATAAATAAATAAATAAATAAATAAATAAATAAAAATAAATGAATAAATAAGTAAATACACAAATAAATGAATAAAATAATGAAACACCCGAATTTACTCCTCTCACCCCCATCTCAAAACAAGTATATTCAAAAAGTCCCATTCTGCCCCACCCCCGGTAAAAATCCCCGCCTAGTGACATGCGGCCCTCTACCGGCTGCTCACCGCAGGCCTCACCCCAAGGGGCTGAATATCGTCAAATGCCATTTCACCATTTTCCACACGCCAATCGTTGCCCGACAACTTCACAAATACGCTTCCTCGGAAAACCGGTGTCTCTCCTCATCTCCGTCCACTCTCAATCACACCGTGATGAATTGAAAGAGGACACGAGATGCGCAATATTTACGAGTAGCCGGACAATAACCCACCGCATTAGCTGTCCGCAATATATTTTTAAATTGTAAATAATCGTAAATTTTTGAATATGTGGCATGAAGCTGCGGGCTGATCTGCTGGGTATGTGACTAATCATTCGTGTTTTTTTATTGGGTTTGAAATTCCATTCGGATAGCGTGCGGAGACCCTCGGGCAGCTCCATAATGTCCCAGGACGACGATGTTGGCTTCTTGTACAAAACCATGAGTGAGTTTCATTCAATTTATTTTTGGTGATGGCATTGTTCGTCTGGCGGGCGACAAGTCGCTTTCATTTTTTATCGCTATTTCAATTTTTTTTTCAATGTTATTGTCAATTTGCCATTTTATTTCAATTTTTTTTACGTTTCGTTTTTACATTTTTCACGGTTTAGGAAGGGACTGGAATTTTTTTAAATTCGTGGGTCATTCTCGGGAGTTTAATCGGGATGAGGTACTGTAGAGGTGAAAGGGTTTAATCGAATGTAAATTTCGGGGGGCGAGTGAGGTGGGGGGTGATTACGGAAATTTATTGGAGGATCTTAGGGGGAACTGAAGTCTTTATCGTGATTTCGGGATTTGCGGGGAAATACGGAGATTGAGAGTTTGAATTATTTGATGCGACAGGAGAAGTCAATTTTAGTTGATCAGTTTTTTATGAAAGATACGAGGACGAGAGAATTTAAAAAAAAAAGTTGGCTGAGTTGAAAGGGAAATTGTTTCATTTGAGAACGCAAAATTACTAATCGTAAATAGTCGTTATTTTGCGTTTTTATTAATTCTCTCCGGGAGAATGTTATTTGTACCGGATCGCACTGAGGGAGAAGATAATACCGACAAGTCAGAGTTGTTTGAGTTGACGAAATACTTTCGTGGTGATTACCAAGGTAGAAATTCAGGAGCGAAGCGGTAAAACGGTTCGAGGCGATTTTGACTGTTGACCATTTTTCAGTGAATATCTCGGAATCTGAGGGAGATGGCGAAATTTTTGTCAGGACACTTTTTGTAGCCCTCAATTTGCTCTACAAAAAAGGTCGTTACGAAAATTTCGTTGTCTCCCTTAGATTTGTAGATATTCTTGAAAAACTCTCTTGGAGAACTGAATACACGAAGCGACAGGCAAAAAAAAATTTAAATGACTATTTATTAAAACATCCTTAAAAAAAATTACATCAACGAATAGACGAAAGTTGCCTTTTTATTCAAACGCCAGGGGACACGACAGGGTCGAAGTAAAAATTAATGTACTAGCTAGTTGAAAGTGTCACAAATGATCGCGCAATGGTAAAAACTTGAAAAAAAAACTCCATTCAATTTAAGTAATCTTCAATTTATTTTTCATCTAATCTATTTATTTATTTTTTTCATTAAATCTATTTTTTTTTCATTCAATCTATTTAAGTTATTTGTTTGAACTTTAAAATGATTAATCATTAAAACATCCTTTAAAAAAATTACCACATCAACGACCAGACGAAAGTTCCCTTTTTACTCAAACGCCAGGGGACACGACAGGGTTGAAGTAAAAATTAATATACTAGCTAGTGGAAGTGTCGCACACGCACACGTATGTGTATAAGTACTTCAAGTTTCCGCACTACACGCATCAGCATGGCGTCAACATAAACTCCCTCTCCTCCCGTATGAATGTCCACCATCAATCATTCCCCATTGACAATCGCCATTCAATCGATTCCAAATGTCCCCCGCACTCAATTCTTAATTTATAAAATGAGCAGTTCAGGTGAGTCTTCCAAATAACTCCCGCGGAGTCGTTAACCTAACTGACGCACTTCAGTGCACCGTTAACTTCAATGAAGTCATGAAGTTGAATTTTTTTTCCAGTTGAACGCGATCCGAAGAAGCGTCGAGTGAAACCCGTGGAATCGGCCCAGCAGTCACTCCTAGATTTTGACCTAGAGGAGAGCTCAGACGACAGTGACTTCAGGATTGAAGATCATTGCGAAGAGTCTGATGACGATTCCGTTGATTCAAATGATCCCGCAAAGGGTAAAAATTTAAAAACAAAACTCTATTCAATTTAAAAAATATTCAATTTTTTTTTCATTTTGAAGATTTTTTTTTGCATTGCAAAATTAATCTATTTATTAAAACATCCTTTTAAAAAATTACGACATGAATGAATGCATTAATTAATTAATTAATTAATCAATTATTTAATTAATTAATTAACAACTTTTTAAGATTTAACCTTTTAAAACTTTTAATTATCAGACTTCTGATTGATTAATCTTTTTTAAGAAATTATAAATATTCACTTCATGAAAAATTTACAGTTCTGTATTATCAAATATTTAATTCATCATCAATCGGAAATTTGAGCTACTAATATTATATTATTTTTTTATTTTGATGAGTATATTTAAACATTTATCAATATAAATCGCAAAAAGTTTTTTGAAGTTTAAAAAAAAAAAAAGAAATACCTAAATTTTTTTTTTTAACTTCAAAAAAGGTTTTTTTCAATAAAAAAAATTTAATTTCAACTTAATTACGACTATCCACAATGATGTTAACATCACGATTTAAAGGTCGGTCAACTTTTTAAGATTTAACCTTTTAAACCTTTTAATTATCAGACTTCTGATTAATTAATTAATCAATTATTCAATTAATTAATTAATGCATTCATTCATGTCGTAATTTTTTAAAAGGATGTTTTGATTAATTAATAAATTAATTAATTAAATAATTGATCAATTAATTTATTTATTTATTAATTCATCAATTCATTAACTCATTAATTCACTAATTCGTTAATTAACTTACTTCCAGACGATGAAGAAGTGGACTCCGACGCATCCTCGGACTCCCTGGAGGACCCCCTGATCTCAACAAAGCCACCATCAGCTGTAACCGTTGGAGACGTGATTGACCAGGCACGCCACCAGTCCGAGAAGGCCCTCCAGCTGGACGAGAAGCTCGCGAAGATGCTGATCTGCTGCGGGTGCTTGGGGGACCGAAGCGACGACATTAACGAGATCGTGGAGTGCGACGGTTGCGGGGTCACGGTCCACGAGGGTTGCTACGGTGTTTCCGACGTGGAGAGCTTCTCCAGCACGGACTCCCTCCGGCAGTCCGCCCCCTGGTTCTGCGAGGCCTGCTCTGCTGGGGTGGAGGACCCCTCCTGCGAGCTCTGTCCGAACAAAGGTTCCTCTAGTTTTTTTTTTTTCAACTGATTGCTTTCGAATTCATCAAAATAATATGATGTAGGGCAGGGATAGCCATGAAATTTTGAAGCCGTCAATTAGTCAACGTCACTCTTGAACTTCTAATTATTCAAGTGATCATCAGTTTCAATAATTAAATTTTCAACTGTTTTATTAACCAATAATTTAGGTAGGAAGATTGCCACTTATTTGGTTAATCGATAATCCCTTTTAAGAAATTATAAATATCCACTTCATGATAAATTTACAGTTCTGTATTATCAAACATTTAATTCATCATCAATCGGAAATTTGAGCTACTAATATTATATTATTTTTTTATTTTGATGAGTATATTTAAACATTTATCAATATAAATCGCAAAAACTTTTTTGAAGTTTTTTTTAAAAAATTAAAAAAATGAAATAATTTTTTTTTAAACTTCAAAAAGGATTTTTTTCAATAAAAAAAATTTAATTTCAACTTAATTACGACTATCCACAATGATGTTAACATCACGATTTAAAGGTCGGTCAACTTTTTAAGATTTAACCTTTTGAACCTTTTAATTATCAGACTTCTGATTGATTAATCTTTTTTAAGAAATTATAAATATTCACTTCATGAAAAATTTACAGTTCTGTATTATCAAATATTTAATTCATCATCAATCGGAAATTTGAGCTACTAATATAATATTATTTTTATATTTTGATGAGTATATTTAAACATTTATCAATATAAATCGCAAAAAGTTTTTTGAAGTTAAAAAAAATAATAAAAAATCAATAAAAAAATTTTTTTAACTTCAAAAAAGGTTTTTTTCAATAAAAAAAATTTAATTTCAACTTAATTACGACTATCTACAATGATGTTAACATCACGATTTAAAGGTCGGTCAACTTTTTAAGATTTAACCTTTTGAACCTTTTAATTATCAGACTTCTGATTGATTAATCTTTTCTAAGAAATTATAAATATTCACTTCATGAAAAATTTACAGTTCTGTATTATCAAATATTTAATTCATCATCAATCGGAAATTTGAGCTACTAATATAATATTATTTTTATATTTTGATGAGTATATTTAAACATTTATCAATATAAATCGCAAAAAGTTTTTTGAAGTTAAAAAAAATAATAAAAAATCAATAAAAAAATTTTTTTAACTTCAAAAAAGGTTTTTTTCAATAAAAAAAATTTAATTTCAACTTAATTACGACTATCTACAATGATGTTAACATCACGATTTAAAGGTCGGTCAACTTTTTAAGATTTAACCTTTTAAACCTTTTAATTATCAGACTTCTGATTGATTAATCTTTTTTAAGAAATTATAAATATTCACTTCATGACAAATTTACAGTTCTGTATTATCAAATATTTAATTCATCATCAATCGGAAATTTGAGCTACTAATATTATATTATTTTTTTATTTTGATGAGTATATTTAAACGTTTATCAATATGAGTCGCAAAAACTTTTCTGAAGTTTAAAAAAAAATTAAAAAAATAAACGTTTTTTTAAACTTCAAAAAAGGTTTTTTTTTCAATAAAAAAAAATTTAATTTCAACTTAATTACGACTATCCACAATGATATGTTAAAATCACGATTTAAAGGTCGGTTAACCTTTAAAATTTAACCTTTTAATTATCAGACTTCTGATTGAAGCCTGATAATTTCCCTGCAGCCGGGGAAATAATCAGTGTGAAACGTGTCACGTGACCCCAAATACTGCACTCATAAGTCAAAATAAGAAATAAGCACCCATCCTCCTGATAAAATGAGCAATACAACTCCCGAAGAATGCATGCCTAATTTCTGAAACAAAAGCAAATTCACAAAAATATTTCCCCGGAAGGAGGTATCTTCAAGGAGACAGACGTGGGTAAGTGGGTGCACCTGGTGTGCGCCCTGTACGTTCCAGGAGTTGCCTTCGGGGAGGTGGATCGCCTCTCCAGCGTCACCCTCTTCGAGATGGCGTACACCAAGTGGGGCTCGAAGACGTGTTCCTTATGCGAGGACTTGCGTTACGCCAGGACTGGTGTCTGCATCGAGTGTGACGCTGGCATGTGCCACACGTACTTCCACGTGACGTGTGCCCAACGTGAGGGACTACTCTCTGAGGCTCACAGCGAGGAGGTTGACCAGGCCGATCCCTTCTACGCCCACTGCAAGCTCCACTCCGACAAGACACTCGTTCGGAGGAGGAGAAGGAATTGGCTGGCCCTGAGGATTCGCTCTGAGTACAGGCAGCAGTTGCTCAAGCAGGCCGATCATCTCGACACTGAGGAGCAGAGGAGGATCCAGAGGAAACTCGCCAAACATCGCCACAGGTATCTCGCCAATAAAGCTGGAAGGCCCTCGCCCTGGGTTCCCACCCAGAAGATGCCCAGGCTGCTGACCACTTCGGCCTCTGCTTATCGACAACTCGCCAAGAAGGCGGAACTCATGGGGATTGACACGGCTGCTCTCGAGGCGCAGGAGGCACAACTGGTCGCTCTGGTGGATGTCAGGAAGAAGTGGCACATTCCACCTGCCTTCAGTGTTGAATTTATTGGGTAGGTTCTGGGGATTTTTTTGAACACATTTGGAGGTGTTTCCATTGTTAATGTCTTTGCAGTGGCTGGGGGATATTCAATATTTTTTTGCCTCCCACACTGAGAAAATCAAAGTTTTTTCAGAAGTATGGATTTACTTATATGAAGAAAATCGTCGCTTGAAAATTTTCACGAGCAAGATATCGTAGCAAAGTCAGCAAATATCAAGAGCAAAATAGCTCAAAATACCAAGTTAAATTTAATTAATTCATTTCATAGTTAAAAGGAAGAGTTAATAAGCATAATCTTTAATATTCTCATGAATATAGACTTTAATAAGCTCTATTAATTGACAGTAATTGAAATTCAATTTTCATGCAGATTCGAAAAAATTGATATTTGATGTTTTTCAAAAATCAATTTTTCAACGGAAAAAAAAGAAAAAAAATTTTCAGTGTTTTCATTTTGAAGAGTTTGTCCGACTTTCAGATGAGATGTAACTCGTCACAATCATTTGACTCTCCTACAATTTCTGGATTAATTAAATTCATGTTTAATTCATGAATTTGATAAAAATTTAATATATTTAATATATTAAATAATTAAATAATAAATTGATAAATAATAATGAGTAATAAATAATAAATTAATTATTAATAATCATTAATAGTGAATTTAATTTATAAATTCAGTATATTTATTTTGTTTAATTTAATTCATGAATTATTCAAGTTAATTCATCATATCATTTTCCTGAGCAACGTCACTCTTCGCAGGTATTACCTTGATCGGAATCTACGTGTCACCACGATGAAGAGAAAGCTCCAGGAGTTGCTGGACATAAATTCACAACTCCTTAATGAACAGCAGAGGCTCGACAGGAAATACGACGAGGTGATGAAGGATAATGAGGAGCAGATCAGGGTCAATGTGACTCTCAAGGAGAAGATCGAGTTGTATCACCAGGTGATGAGGGCCAGTGGCTACGTCAAGCCTCTACCACTCATCGGGGATATCGTTAAACCGAGGATCCCACCAACTCTAGGTAAATTCAATTTTTTCAAATGGCAATAACTGCCGAATAAATGATGGGAATTTGACCAACTTTTTTTCATTTTCAAGGTCTTTTCAAAAGCTTCAAGACCCCGTTAGATTATGATTTTTCAAATGTGATCTGGATTCTTTTTTGCCAATTTTTTTATCCGGAAATTTCCACTCGGTTTTGCATAACGCAGAGAACTGCCAAAAATAATAGATTGAATAATATATTAATTAATATATTAATATGATATATATTAATATATATTGTTAATATGTTATAATAATACATTATTAAAATATTGTTAATTATATATATTAATTAATATATTATAATGATTCTCATCATTTGCATCATTCCTCAATAAAAATTAAAAACGTCTTAGCATGCATCTGGATTTTTTGCGGTTCTCTGCGTCATGCAAACCGAATGGAAATTTCCATCCAAAAAAATCGATAAAAACAATCTAGATAACATTCGAAAAATCATCCAACCGGGCCTTAAAATGAAAAAAATGAAAATAAAAAATCACTGTCAATCTTGAGTTATTGAAATTGAATTGGAGTTGGTTGAAATTTTCGTGATTTCGTTGTTTTAAGGGGCTGGACTTGGAGTTCCAACGGCAGCAGCCCTGAAAATGGGGGTGGGTTTTCCCCTACCAGTGACAAAGGGGTCTGAAGGCGCTCGGGAGGGTCGAGTCCTCAGTAGTCAGGCGCAGGAGCAACACGTGCAGAAGCCTGAGTTGACTTTACGTCATCAGTGTGGCATCTGCAGGAGATCTACTAATCAGCATCTACTGGCCAAATGTGACACGTGCCATCTCCATTATCATCTGTCCTGCCTCAGTCCACCATTATCACGGATGCCTAAGAAGACTAAACTCATGGGATGGTATGAAAATTCGTTATAAGTCATTCGGTATTTAAGCAGGAAAAAATAAATTCGCAAAATCTTGAAAATTATTTCGTCCAGACTGAAGTGATGTAGGGAATTTTTCGCCATTAATTCGTCTTCATTTATTCATGCAGAAAATTCTGGGAATGTGACACATAACCATTGTAACAAAATTATTTCATTAATTAATTTCGAAATAAAGTAATTAATCAACTTCTTAAGATTGATTTTGCATTTCTTAATGCAGGAAATGATGAGAATGTGACAAAAAATTATCAGAACTAAATAAAATCATTAAATCGTCAAAGCTATTTCTCAAAAAATGAAGTGATTTATGAAATTATTTTCTATCAATTCATCTTCTTAATTTTTTAATGATTCAAAGAATCTTCAGAACAAAAAAAAAATTCATCAGTGAATTGTTTAAAAATGATTTCTCAAAAAAAAAAGAATTCTGCAATTCCCTTCTACCAATTTATCTTCTTAATTTTGTAATGATTCAAAGAATCATCAGAACTACAAAAAATTCATCAATGAATTGTTTAAAAATGATTTTTCAAAGAAAATAAAGGAATTGTGGAGTTCCCTCCTATCAATTCATCTCCTTAATGATTTTTTAATGCAGGCAATGCTCAGAATGTGACAAAGAATCATCGGGTTCTGACGTCGAACGAGTGGACACATCAGCCCCCCGTAAACTTCGGCATTGCAAGGACGAGGTGAATGTCGTGTCAACTCCACCGCGAGAGGTGCAGCTGTCAGCAAATCCCTCCACCCCAACGACCTCCAGATCTCACAACGCGAGTGTAAACTTCATCTCTGTGGACATGCCAACGCCAAAATTGACAATCAAACCGATGATCCCACAGCCACCAGTGCCCGAGCCAATGCAAATTGACGAATCGCCTTATGTTCCACAACAGATACCTGAGAGTGTGAGGATAGCTCCTAGGGAGGGCTCCCCTCAGTACATGGTGGCGTGTGCTGATGGCACTGAATCCGGCTATCAGAGGAGTGGCAAGAAGAGGAGACGGGAGAAGCACAAACGTTACACACCCGATCCTATCACTGGGGTCAAACAACGGAAGAGGAAACATAAGAGGAAGAGTGTTGATGTCGAGAATCCGGATAATCAGGGGCAGCCGGAGGTCCATCGCAGGATTACGATTAAGGTGAGGGAGAAGTACATGAGTAAACGAAATTCATATTTCGTTTTTAGTTTATCGAAAGTGGAATTTAATGTTTGGTTTTTATTTTTATGGTTTTTATTCAATACTTGGAATCGTTATGCAGTTATCATTGCATTTCAAACTCGGGTAACGAAAATAATTTCACATTGTGAATTTCATTTTGGAGGAGAAAATGAACATTTTACATTTTATTCCATGAAGATGAAATTGACGATTTTTTATTTATGGAAACATGAAGATCAGACAATTTCATTGTAAATTTAAATTATTTTAAAAAGTGAACTTATCTCAGTGCTTGGTAGAGCAATTTGCACTGTGTGAAATAATAATTTCGAGTTTATACTTTCGGAAAAATTAATTATGAGATTTTTTTTCTCAATTTTTATTCCTCAAAGGGGTAATGAACATTTCATGTTAGCCTGTTTCGTGGAAGTGAATAATTTCCTACATTAAAATTGTAAATAATAAAATTAGTAATCGTTCAAACATCAAGAAATAATTAAAACAAAATGAAAAGAAATAATTTAACAAAATGTTAACGATTTAATCAATATTTTTATTTCAAAAAGTGTTGTTGACGTACCATTTGATAACATTGAATCGACAACTAATCATGTGTTTTCAATTAATTATTTGGGATGATGATTTTGATGATTTTGTCTGCAGATAAAGCCCATTCCACGTCCAGACGGTGAGAAAGTCTCGGATTCGAGTCCCCAAATGTTCATTGCCACCTCGACAAGCACCGAAATTGATACCCCACCGCCCACGCATGTGTTCCCAACCCCAGCACCACCACCACCACCCCCACCCCCGCCGACTCCCCCACCTCAACCATCATCAGCAGTGATACAACCCATACAGCAAGCTAGTCCCATCGTCATCACTGCACATGGCTCGAGGGGATCGACTGGCAAGAAGAGCAAAGACATGGAGCTCACCCAGTGCAATGTCTGCAACCTCCCTGGCAGCTCCCAGAATCTCGTCATGTGAGTAGAAACTAACATATTTTTTAATTCTAAATTAATTCAGGGAAGTAATGAATTCTAAGCAAATAAAATCCCTCATTTCAATTTTTCTGATCCTTTCGACAATATTTTTTATTGAAATTTAATAGGGGAGAGCGGGGCAAAATGAAACAGCCAAAAAATGACAAATTTTATTATTATTTTAATTTTATTATTGATTAAATACAAATTTTTTGCTTGAATTACGTCAAACTGTTATTTTTCGACTGTTTCATTTGCCCCACTCACCAGTATTTACTTTTTTTAATTGAATGTTGAATAATCAATTGAATATTTCAATTAAATAATTACTTTGCAATTGTAATTTTTTTTAACATTGTCATTGCAGTTGAAAAACTTTTTGCAGTTGAAAAAATGAAAAAATAAATTAATTCAATGAACTTTTTCAATAATAATACCACTTCCGCAAGAATTAACGAATTAAATTCTTCCTTCACAGGTGCGACGAATGCAAAAAGTGTTATCACTTCACCTGCCTCGATCCCCCCGTGAAAAAATCCCCGAAGCGACGCGGATACTCCTGGCACTGCGCGGACTGTGATCCTAGTGTAAGTGGTGACACATTTTAAAAGGGAAAAACGAAAAAAAAAACAGAAAATCAGTGAACACTAGGAAAGGTTGAGTCTTTCGCCACAATTGTATTAAAAAACAATTATTAATTCGAAAAATAATAATGATTTTCGTACCAGTATCAAAATCGTCTCCTGCACTTCAATTATCCAAATTTTTATTATTTTTGAATGATGAGTAATAATTAATAAAAATTTTCGTCCTCGAAATTCTGATTTTTTTCGTTTTTAATTTTTTTTCATTTTGTCCTCCTGCACATGATTTTTCCAGATATTCCCAATTTCGTTATTATTTTCTTATATTTTTTACTGACTGCAAATATCTGTTTCTTTTCAGGCCTCTGAAACTGAGAATTAATTCCCATCAATTTTATCTCCCAGCGACGAGCGTACGGAAGTTCACGGAATTACATTTTTTTCAATATGGAAAATTAATACTAAGAATGAACATAGTGGTAATAATAATCGTATAATAATAATTCAATATAATATAGTTATTTGAAATAGATGTGTTTGAACATCTCATGTCAATCGAATTATTGTTTTATATTCAATATTGAATTTTGGAATTTGTGAACAAAAGGATAATGAATGTATCAAAATCCCCTGCATTATCTTTCAATGGTTTATTTCACTGTCACTATTTGATGAAATGATCAATGGATATTGTCAATTTGAGCTCATTTATTCCACAAAAATTTATAGAAATCAGGAAAATATCAGTTGAAATATTTTTGAATTTCTAATTAATTGAAAATTCAAGTAAAAAGGGAAATTTTCGTCTTTTTGCTGCTGAAAAATTTGATATTTCATTGAAATTTCATGACTATCCCCCTAAATATAAAAACAACGACTAGGGTGAACAGGCCGATTGCTGGACGGTCAATTCGAGTTTCGTAGGATCTAAAATAAAGGAATCACCTAAATGGAGATATGATGATTTCCATACCTCCAAGAATGTTTTAATTAGCAGAAAAAAATTATTTCAAGTGAAAATGACAAATCAAAGAATAATTAAATTAAGAAATAGTTGAATACAGCCGAAACCCCTAATTTTTGGACGACAGGGCCATATTTTTTTAATTATTAAATGTCGATCAGCAGAAAAAATAATTGATCACATGATTACACACGAGTAATATTATTGAAAAGTGAACAAATCAGAATTTACAATTTTCATCTTCTTTAGGAATATTCAGTGCAAGTTGGAATTGTACAGAAGCTAAACCCCGTCCAGAAATTAACCTGTTTACCCTACCAACTGTCCACGAAATTTAATTTTTTTCTTCTCACAAATTGAATTGAATTGAATCAAATTCCCGCTCTTGAGCCAGCGCATGCCCACGCAGAACTAGTCGCCCTGCGCATGTGCAGACCCCCCAAGAGAGTCGACTCTGCACATGCGCGTTCAAAATATCGCTCTGCGCATGCGCCGGCCCACCAAGCCAACGTCATGTTGAAATTTCTGGCAGTATTGCCTCGTAGGGGCACGGAGGAGGGTCGTGAGGTCCGTAATTGGTCAATAATCGTCCATTTGGCGAGCGTGGGAAGTGGAAAACGCGGGATCGTGGTGCACTCGCCGGCACGGGGCACAAGCCCACGCGACACCGAAACAAAGGACTCGGTTGAAGCATCGAGTGGTCATTAGTGGATGTGACAATGATTTTAATCGAGTTGATGAGTTTTATCGGACGAGTTGTGGTGTTTTTATTGTGAAAATGGAGACGGGGGACCGATGATGCCGGCCGGCAGCCTTTGTTTATTTACAAAAAGCTGTTCGTCGGGGCCTCGAAGGGTCCAGTGGAGTGTTTAGTGTTTCAACTCGCGTCGTTTGGAATAGATATCCAGTGCAGGAATATTCAAAGTGATCTAGTGTCAATTTTCATGGGGAAATGAATAAAATTGAGGAGAACGATTTCTTCCGTTGGGTTGAGGCAATTTCGAGGCTTTGGGGCTATTTTTCGTGGGTCAGGGAATTTCTTTCGGTTTTTTTATTTGTGGAAATGGAATTAGTTGTGTTGTGAGTGCAAGTGCATTCGAGAGTACTCAACCCCATGGATTGGAATAGAGGTAGCTGGTTGGAGAGGTGAAAACGGAGCTGTTGTTTTCATCCAACGCCGGTGAGTGATTCCAACTCCTTCACTAATTCATTAATTCCATCAATTGTCTATCGACATCCAGGGATAAATAGCACAAACTCAGGTGTTACATTTGTAAACGTATATTTGTAACATACGATTTTACCATGTTGCAATACTCACATTCACAATATTTCCACAAACATATTTCTTACATTCGTTTTAAATAAACAACACAGTACATTCGATTTTGTCCCTCTTCTCGTTATCTCAATATGCCACTGATGGCTAGATTTTGAGCTGCATTTGGTTTTGTGTTTGATAAAAATAATTCTATGCGAGTGGATAATACTTCTATTACTCAATTCGACGAGTTATGAAACTGTATTAAAATATTCCTCATTCTTTCATACGCTGTACACGGAAAAACCTCCATTGAAGTACATCAGAATTTGTTTATTTCACTATCTCATGGATTCTCTATTCTTCACGTTTTTTTTCTTTGTTTTATTGGAAGGCTGACAAGATCCGTTGCATTATGAAATAGGAAATTGAATTTTGAATTAGTTAAATCATTAAAATCGTCATTACATCGTGATAGTGAGATATTTTCAATAGATTAAGGCCGTTTTCTTTCGTATTCTCTTCAGTAGTGAGGATTTCTTCGTAGATATTCAGAAAAAAACTGAAGGCTCAACTAATCCACTACCGAATATTAATATTTCAATCTGTATTTATATAATTCAAAGAATTATTTCACTCCAAGATACTTCAGTAGCAAAAAATATGACAAAATCAAGTCTAGTAGCTGTAGTAGAATAAATTTTAATGCAACTCAACTTCATAAATCTCAAATCAAGTAGAAACTCTCTCTTTTTACAGTAAAAAAAACATTTGGAAAGAAAAATTCCTCCAACTCCCCGAAAATACACTATCCTCTCCAACAATATTTTTGTTTATTTAGTATTGCATTTTAATGTGACAAATCAATGAACAACATAGTCTAGTAAAGCTGTGCTCGTGGAACTGATAGATACAATTAACTCGATAATTCATCATTTTGTGGTAGGAATGTGGAGTATATTCCTGGCAATTACCTCTCATCCTCGTTAATCACTCCAATTAATCGATAATAATCTTATAATTTACTAGTAAAATACGCAATTGTCATATGTAGGAGGTACACTTAGGTATCAATAGTTTTTTTCATCATTTCTTTACACTTATAAGCTCATTACAATTATGGAATATCCCTGTGCTGACTACTTCACTCCCTCAAATAATCCTTCAATTTACCTAGAGGAGAGGATGACTTGTCTGTCATTATGCCTTAATTATCTGACTAGTAGTCGAGTGTCTCTGATGGACTGGAAAAAAAAAACTAAAAGGATTGAACGCTCAGCAATTGAATATTTACGAAAAATCAAAGTATAGATAATAATTAAATAAAATAAATATCCTGGATTTTTGCTTTTCGATTTTTCATGCTCACAATTATCAGTCTTTTCTTTATTTTTTTTTTTTAATTCAAGTGATGAGATGTCTCGTTCAATTTCTTCAGAGCGACTTTCATTCGTTGTAAATTAACAGCAGCAATTGCATATTGAAGTTTTACAGTTGTTGTTGTTGGTCTCAAATGATATTCGGTAATTAAATGAATAAACACTCGGTATCGACTGAAATTTATACACTCAACATTGATTATACCTTAAGTTTAAACAAACACATGCGTTATATCTATGTTTGTTCGTCGTTGAATATAGAATCTCCTCTGCTATTGGAAAAGTATATCTAGGTAATGTTAAACTCAAAGGGATTCTACGTCAAGAAGCTCAAGATGCGTCCTCCCAAAAATCTCCAATATCTCGTGACCTGACGATCCGAAATCGACAATTTTTTTTTCAATTTCAAGCTTGAGAAATTCCCCTCAAAGTGATGAAAAAATGGTCCAAATTCACTCTGCCAGTCCCGAGATATTGACGACTGAAGATGACTCGTTTTTCTCATTCCCCCGAAAATTACGAAAATTTAAAGCGTAAACTGTCATAAAAAATATTGAATTGCCCGATCCTTTCTGTCCAACAAATTTCATTAAATCTACCAGTGAGTGTACGTACACCAGCAATTAATAAACTATCTAATCCTACTCGTGACTCGTCGTAATAATTAATCAATCAATTTCTCATCGTTTTCATTCAAATTCATTTTTTGTTTTTGTTATACCCTATGTATAATATTAATCAATGAGTGAGTGTGTTTTAACCACACTTCAATTCACAATTTGTGCAAGGACGGGTGAATAAGGATCACTCCAATGAAGACAATTTATCTATACATTATTCATTATTTCGTTAATTACCTCTCGTATATCAACATTTCTATTATTTTTTTGGTTCTTTGCCTGGTTGGAGTTTTTCTCACGGACACTTTAACTCATAAACTCGGACATTTCAATGACATTACGAAATCCGACTAGATATTTCATTATTTAAAAATTCTATAGGCATAATTATTAACATTTGAATTTTTAGTTGACTTATTATACTTATATTTTCAATTTTGTTCTCTTAAAAAATTATCGTGAAATCGTTATCTGCAAATAAAAATTGCCCACTAGATTCTAGAAAATGAGAAATCATCACTATTATTCATTAGATTATTCATTTTGATGTTATCACTAATTCAGAAGTAATTTATAATCTACACCTATCACACGTACTTACGACTGATTGATTTATCATTCACATTAATTCGGGGATGAGCCAAATGTCTCGTTAAATTTTTCATCAACTCTTCGTTCAGTTTATATCAAAAATAATAATTTATTGAACTAAATTCAACACTGTAGGCCTGCATGAGTTCAATCTGTTCTGCGTTGTGAGAGACTCTGTTGTTTTACGTTATCTACAGGGTGTCTGCTCTCAGTTAGCTCATCTTCATGCGTTTTGGTGTGTTGGGGCTCGATGCATCTTGAAAATAAATGAACAACTGTAGATTTATTGGGGAATAATTTTTCCTCAGAGTTCAATTTTCCTCAGGACGTACCTCCGTTTGACGCTGTACCAAAGGTGTTGAGCATCTGACAAGTTTGATTTTTCTGAATGGTTAATGAGTATTATTTGTTACTGTTCAACAGCGAAGGAAATTCATTATTAATTCGATTAATTTGGCTTACGTCTCCCATGACAGCGATTGGAGTTGTTCCAGTGGCGACAGCAACTTGATGCTCGATTAAGTAAAACATGTATTCGTCGTAGAGCAATCTAATCAGGTGGAATGAGCCGAAACTCGCAGCACTTCTGAGTGTCAGGTCACGAATTACCATTGAACTGTGGAAAAACACGAGGGGGAAATTGTTTTTGCGTTCATTTACACTGAGAGAAAAACGACAAAGTTCTCGGACAAGTCTTACTTGTGGCAGGAAAATAGTTTTTTGAAAATTATCAAAAAAGGATTTTTTGTGCCTCAGATAGGAGGCTGTCGACTTGAATCGCTTTCATATTATTTTGTTCAATTGAATTAGATTTGTTCCTCAATTAATTGTGTTTAATTGATTATGTATTCCTTGTGAAAATTCTTGTATGAGTCCAATGAAAGGATGATGCTATCTGTATTACCTTGAAACTTGGTTAAAGTAGTGGTTTTTACCTGTAGAATGACCATTTGAGGAGAAATTGTCGGGCGGCTTTGGCAAACGTTGTTTTTCCCTCGTAAGGCTTGAGTACCTGCGTTACAACACTCTTTAACCAAACTGCCCACTGCTCCAGTGAATTCTGCTGCTGGAGCGTCATCTTAAAATCCGCCTCCAGGCGCTGGACCACTGTGTAGTCACACTGACAGACCCACGAAGCCTAAAAAAAATTTCGTGTTTATTCGTTTGGAGGACTTGATGGTATTCGTGAGTTTTTGGTCATCGAAGTTGAGTGAAATGAACGTTTCGTTGATTGAAACTGAATTTGGTAGAAAATTTGGGAATTTATTCACCTAAATTTCCCCAACTTTCACTGAATTATTGAACTAAAATTACCTGTTTTTCCCTTAATTTTCAATCCAATTACCATGTTTTTTAATTCCAAAATTTTTTAACCGCGGGATCTTCAATTTAATGAGAATTCCAAAATTCATTTGCCTAAATTTTTCCAACTATCGCTGAACAATGAACCAATTCCCATTAATCCTCCCCTAAAATCCTGATTTCTGCAGCTAAAAATTCCCAAAAAAATCCATCAACCCACCTGTTCCTGAATATTATAAAAATTCACTGAATTCAATTCCGCCAGCGTCTAATAAATTAAAATTGCCTGTTTTTCCCCTTAATTTCCAATCAAATTGCGATTTTTTTTATTCCTAAACTTTTAACACATGAATTCCCAGTTATTGAGAATTAGTGAGAATTATTCAGGACCAATTACTGAAAATTCAAGAATTCATTCACCAAAATTTTCCCAACTATCGCTGAATAATCAAACAATTCCGATTTATCCTCCCCTAAAATCCTGATTTCCGCAACTAAAAATTCCCCAAAAAAAAAAATCCATCAACTCATCTGTTCCTGAACATTATGAAAATTCACTCGATTCAAATCCGCCAGCATCTAATAAACTAAAATAGCCTGTTTTTCCCATTAATGTCCAATCAAATTGCCATCTTTTTCAATTCCAAAATTTCTTAACCGCTGAATCTTCAATTTACCGAAAATTCAAGAATTCATTCACCTCAATTTTCCCAACTACCCCTGAACAGTCAAACAATTCCCATCAATCCTCCCCTAAAATCTTGATTTCCGCAGCTAAAAATTCCCAAAAAAAAATCCATCGACCCACCTGTTCCTGAACATTATGAAAATTCACTCGATTCAAGTCCGCCAGCATCTAATAAACTAAAATAGCCTGTTTTTCCCATTAATGTCCAATCAAATTGCCATCTTTTTCAATTCCAAAATTTTTTAACCGCTGAATCTTCAATTTACCGAAAATTCAAGAATTCATTCACCTCAATTTTCCCAACTACCCCTGAACAGTCAAACAATTCCCATCAATCCTCCCCTAAAATCTTGATTTCCGCAGCTAAAAATTCCCAAAAAAAAATCCATCGACCCACCTGTTCCTGCACATTATGAAAATCCACTCGATTCAAGTCCGCCAGCATCTAATAAACTAAAATAGCCTGTTTTTCCCATTAATGTCCAATCAAATTGCCATCTTTTTCAATTCCAAAATTTTTTAACCGCTGAATCTTCAATTTACCGAAAATTCAAGAATTCATTCACCTCAATTTTCCCAACTACCCCTGAACAGTCAAACAATTCCCATCAATCCTCCCCTAAAATCCTGATTTCCGCAACTAAAAATTCCCCAAAAAAAAAATCCATCGACCCACCTGTTTCTGAACATTATGAAAATTCACTCGATTCACATCCGCCAGCATCTAACAAACTAAAATAGCCTGTTTTTCCCATTAATGTCCAATCAAATTGCCATCTTTTTCAATTCCAAAATTTCTTAACTGCTGAATCTTCAATTTACCGAAAATTCAAGAATTCATTCACCTCAATTTTCCCAACTACCCCTAAACAGTCAAACAATTCCCACCAATTCTCCCCTAAAATCCTGATTTCCGCAACTAAAAATTCCCCCAAAAAAAAAAAATCCATCGACCCACCTGTTCCTGCACATTATGAAAATCCACTCTATTCAAATCCGCCAGCATCTGATTAATTTGACTAGAATTCTGCAGAACAGCCCTGGCAGCTTGAGCGAGATGATTCAGCGATGTATAGCGCCTGAGTGTCTGTGCAAAAGCAGAAACAGCTGTCAATTTGATCTGCATCATCTCCTCGGGGCAGTCGTTCATAGCTGTCGTCAGCCAGGACTCCAGTCCCTTGGCAAAATTCCTTATCGATTGTGTAAGAGTGCTGGGAATGGGCCTCAGCACATCAGGCATGAGCACCTCCACCAGATTTTGATAGAACGTGTAGTCAACGGTTTTTATGAACTCCTGGACTTCACCGCACTTGCACATCTGATAGAGTTTTGTTTTAGATAGGTACTTCTCCTCCTCGCACTCGTCACCATTGTTGTTGTCCTGACTGCGCCAGAACTCCCTCCACAGGCTCTCGACAGTTCCAAATTCAAAATTGAGAACAGCATCGAGAAAGGCCTCGCAGTGCTCTCGGTAGATGCTTCTGAAGGTGTCGATGTCCTCCAGGGTGCAATCCTCGGGTAGGGATGAGCCGTGGCTCACGACGATCTCGGGAAAATCGGGAATTGCTCCACTAGCTTCGCCGAGGTACTGGTGATACTGGGGGGTTGTCGTGTTTGATGTTATGCTGACGGCTCCGTGGCTGTTGCTGTCGTACGAGGACTCTTGCTTCTGATTCGAGAACTTGAAGCGCTTTGTCTGATTGTTGGCTGATGTCTGTTGACGGGACGTTCCGTCATCGTTCAGGAGGATCAGGGGGGAGTTTGGCTTCACTCGGATGCCGTAGTAGTGGTACTTGGAGTTGCCCCTGGGGGGTTTAAAGAGGGGCGGTGAGAGCTTTCGGTCAGAGGTTTTGGTGGAAATTCTTTTGAGATGATTTATCGTCGGTTTTGTCTGCGACATGATTCGTCCACCTTTTATCGCGATTTTTAGGAGGTTTCGGTGGTCATTGCATTGGTCAAGTGTCGATCATTGGATAGGGCAACTGACAATTGTGTGGAATTTAGAGAAAACTTTCGCGTGAAGGTGAAACTAGCGGAATATTCGGCAGCGGAAAATTCAATTTGAGTCGAATAATCGTATGTACAAATGTTTTTCAAGTGCGAAAGAGTTTGTATGTCAGGGGAGGATGGGGCAAAACGGCCCCCCTTCAATCGTCAATATTTTCCGATTCGATAATCCGATTGGGATGAGTTAGAGCTCGTTTTGAAGAATGAAAAATTATCTTCAAAATGAAGTTGAAACTGGGAATTTTCACAATGTCATTCACAAGTTATTGACAATTGAAGGGGGGCCGTTTTGCCCCAAAGAAGTCTTGTTTGGGCCAACAAAATCGCTAGTTGAAAATTGCCAAGAAGAATTTGATTGGTTGGAATTTGAATGTCTCAAACATGAATAATTGTTCTGCTTTCGACAGCAACGAAATGTTTGGCTCAAGAGGCGGATAATTCACACCAGGCGGTGCCTTTTCAGGATGAAAATATCTCACACAGAGGAAAATTTATCAACAAATATTTTATCCCCAAGTTACAAGATTGCTATCATATCATTATTATTGTTTCATTTAAGGACTCATTTATTGTCTGTGATTATTAGACAGCCGAAACGAAAAACTACTATCCCTTGTTTCGCATTAAACAAAGATTTTTCGCGAGCAAAATACGTATGGGAGTATCTAATAACGAAGGAGTAGTGCTAGAAATGACATTTCTTGCGTCTACAGAGAATGCAATTTTTTTTTAACTGCTAAATCAATTTTTGCGACAAAAATTTTTCACTCCACCGCACTCTCTGCATGTGTTTGGCACAAAAAAATCGTTTTTTGATAATTTTCAAAAAAATATTTTCTTGGAACACGTAAGACTTGTTTGAGAACTTTGTCGTTTTTCTCTCAGTGTAGATTCGCCTCAGACAGATCTTCTGCTGTCGAATCTTTCGCTAGTTTCAGCTTTTCATAACTTTGGCGACGAAAATTTCGATTTTTTTCGAAAATGAATTGAATAGCGGTGCCTTTGTCTTACCTTGTGCCTAGACGCCGTGTTCTTAATCCCAGAAACACTGAACGTATCAGTTTTCCAAAACTAGCTGCGTTCACTGGATCCAATTTGTTCTCCGAACAGTGACGGAGGTAGTGATTGTAGAGGGTGGAACGGGGCAGTGACACGCCGTCTGCTGTCTCGTAATTCTCCAGGAGCCATTGCACCTGAATCCAGTTGATAATCATGATTAATGGGTGATAATGAAGTTCGTAATTATGAATACAACACTGATTACATTATTGAATTTTGATATTCTTTCTTAAACGGGGATTTACCTAGGAAACGAGAGGGTTTAGGTGAAAATGTCAGAATAACTTTTTTGTAGAGAATTAAATTTCCTACAAAGATGTCATTTTTTTTCTACTGGAACCACGGGTTTCCAAGATAAATGCGCAGTTAACAAAAATTCTTTGCATGTTGATGATTACCAAATCGTGAATATTTGGAAGGTTTTTGTCGAAAAAAAAGACAAAATATCTCCAACTCTCGAGCGAAACATGAAGAAAGTATCACCAAAATTTTCATTATTAGATCATTTTCATTGTCAGATTTTCATAATGAGATCAGATTTTTTGATCAGATAATCAATCGCCACCAGAGGATGGGAAATTATCCGCAGAATGCTGATTCTCCAAGTGGTGAGACCCATAATTCATTGAATCACCTTATTATTCATGTTTGGGAATTTTTAACGCCCAAATGAAACAATTTCTACCTTGGTAATCATCAGAAAAGTATTTCGTTGATTCAAAATACATTGACTTGTTGGAATTATCTTCTCCCTCAGTGGAATTTAATGCAAATAACATTCTCCCGAAGAGAGAATGAATTAAAACACAAAATAACAACTCATGCACAAAAATAATCATCATCCGCAGAATGCAGGTTCCGGAAGTGATGAGACCCACAATTCATTGAATCATCTTATTATTCATTTTGGAAATTTTTTGCGCTCAAATGAGCTCAAAATAGTGGATTATTAGACCCCCAAAAAATGAAGCTGAAATTAGCAGAATATTCATCAGTGGAAAATTCAATTTAAGGGATATTTAAAGTAGCTCTACTCTTCGGCCGAGCCACGCTGCACTTTTGGATATTTTCAGTTTTCACATTTCTCAATTAAATTGCACGGGAAAAATTTGAAAAAATTCATACCCAGTCAGTTTCATCAAAATTAAATTTCACACAATATTAGTATTTTTTTTTTCAAACATTTCCTTCTTATAAATAAATAATAGAACTTGTTTGCAAAACGTTGCATCATTTTTTATAAGGTGTCAAAAAAATTGTTGATTTTTTCACATCTAATGAAGAAAAAAATTCTGATTTTAATCTTTGATTACAATGGAAATGTTCATTTTCGCCTAAGACACCGGGTTAAATCCTGATTTTTAAACATTTCATTTTGCGAAACCAAAAGGATAATTAAATTCGAGAAAAAAAAATTGAAGTTTTCTGCAGTTTTCAATCATCTTTGAATTTACCGCAAGGGTAGCTCTATCCTACTACTACTACATTACGTGTAGGCTACTTTAAGCGTAGCTACTTTGAGCTACTTTAAGGGTGCCAAGTGAATTTGGCGATGACCTTAAAAATTGACATTCACCAACAAAGTTATAATTTTTTTAATTAATAGTATTGGACAGATGGTGAACATCGGTGATAATTTTAAAATTTTAGAACTTATGGATATCGAGAAATTAAATAAACAAAATCAGTCCTATACACGGCCTCTTATGGAGTTTTGATTAAATTGAACGTTTCAACCCCCTAGGAACTCAAGAAAAATTTGAAAAAATTTGAAGATATGGGGAATGATGTGTTCAATGGGATGGCGACAAAAAACAATGGGGTACCGGGGTGAATAAGAGAGATATTTCAACCCGCCGTACCCATTTGATCCCATGCTTTCTCGAGGTTCGTCACGCGAAGTAGAGGATTTTCCGCATTTATTTTCTCGATGTCTAGTTCCGGTTGCGGGTTTGAAATTTCGTCGGATGGATGAATACATATTTCTCCAATGATGGAGGGAAAGAAAAAAATTTTTTTGAATCTTTTTTCAAATTCACTTGGCACCCTTAAACGTAGGAGAGTCAAATAATCAAATGTTTTTTCAATTTTTTTCGAATGTACAAATGTTTTTTCAAGTAACGAAGCGTTTGTACCTTTCTTAAAAACATTTGCACACCCCTAGATTTGCCCAAGACAGATCTTCTGCTGTCGAATATTTCGCTAGTTTCACCTTCATCCCAAAAATTCAATCTGTTGAATCTTCGGGGGTGTACGGGTAAAAAAAAATCACACGAGTAAACTTATTTCAATCAGCAAACACCTCTAGACTCGCCTAAATCGAATCTCTCCCCAGTTTCAGCTTCACAATTCCCCTGTAAAAATGATCTACCACCTGCATTCGTCCACTCACAATAGCAGCAAAATGTTAATACCAGTGTTAAGGTACCAAAGCACACGTTAAACCCAACAGACATGCAATAGTCACAGTATCATGATAAAGTCTCTAACAAATGGCGAGTCGATATGGCTTACGGTGGCCTGCGAGACCCTAGTGGCATGCGTCATGTTGGCCGCTGTTGCGGCCTCATCCACGTTGATAGCAGTCCCTCCAGCATTACCACTGATCAAGTATGCCCCTCCACCCCCGCTAACCACAGCGTCCTAGTCGAAAACAGCCAATAGGTTCATTCATTTTTCATTGATGCTGTTAATAATTGGCATTCAGGAAGCATCACCGGAGGATTGAAGAGGGCAAATGGACATTATTATTGTCTTGTTTAGGGTGAGTGCATTCAACGCCCCGAGGCCTCCCCCCGTTGAGAAAAATTCTTAGGCTTTTACCATCATTTTACTGAGGATTTATTATTTTTTACTTCCGAATGGAAATTTTGTAATCGCTCATTATTTAAGGGGAGACTAGTGAGACTTTTCGTACGTTGAAGATCGATTGTATAGATCTGAAAACAAATAATTAGGGCAATAAAATTTTTTTTTATTGTTAGTTTGCCCGAATACGCTTAAAATGCCAAAAACAGTCCAGGGCCTACATTTTTTTTCGGAAAAATATGTGGAATAACAATTACGAGCTAGTTTTTTTTTATTCCCCTCACAAAATGGCTAAATTTGCTTCTTTTGTATTTTTTTTTACACAAATAGTGAATTTTTTTATATGAAAAAAACCGAAATCAGCTGTGTAGGAGTCGAATTCCAAAAAACTAGCTCGTAGTTGTTGTTCCACACATTTTTCCGAAAAGTTTGAAAAAAAAATCTTTTGTAGCTCAAAAATTGGAGGCCCTGCACTGTTTTTAGCATTTTAAGCGTTTTCGGGCAAACGAACAATAAAAAAATTTCTTTTTGCACTAATTATTCGTTTTTAGATCTATATAATCGATCTTCAATGTATGAAAAGTCTCACTCCAATAACCCACGACTTTTAAAAGTCATAGTAGTCTCTCCTTAAGTTCTCTAGTTTTTATGGTAAAGTAACAGTCACGTGAATTCGCTAAAAAATGCTATTGGAATTCTATTTGTTTTTTGCGCTGATTCTATTGGATTTAATAAGAAAAAGTCAATAGATTTCGAATTTCTGTTAGAGTTTTTCTCTTAGATTCTTTCTATTGGAATTATTGGGCACAAATTTTCTGTTTTTTCCGCTGGATTTTATTTTGTTTTGCATTGCAGAATCCGAGTGGAAAAAAATTGGAAAATTAATTTTTTTTTCACTAATTATTTTACATATCTATATTCGAGCTTCAATGCATGAAAAATCTTGCAACGATAGCCCGTGACTATAATAGTACTTTGGCATGAAAAAATAGAAGAAGCGAATAGTGAAATAGGAATTTAAAAAAAGAACCCATTCGGAAGCAAATTGCTAATTTATTAGCAATAATAAATGTACTCATTTGTTAAAAAAAATGCAATTGTCCACTTGTTTTTTTGTACTTACCGCACTCTCGGTCTGGGGACTCCCCCGGGCCGTTGCGGCTGATATCAGAGCGTGAGTCGCTGGATCTCCATCGACTACACTCTGTTGTATCAGGTACGTGCCATTACCCTGGGATAAAAGCTGATTTGTTGTTGTGTTTGAGCCTTGGCCAGATACCTAATGATGATTATGGATTTCAGGAGTTGAGGGGAAGATTAATGTTTCTTGACTTGTTAATTTGTCGATTGATTAATTAGTTTGAGAATTAATTAATGAGTTTGTTAATTGTGAAATTCCCCTGGTGACGAGAGGAATTGGGGGAAAATGTCAAGATATGTTTCTTGATGAAGTTAATGCAAAAGACCGAAATGTTAAATTTTTTCATTTGCTTAAATCGTTGATTATCTCGGTAACAAGTGACTTCAGAGGAAAAAGTGACAGGACTTTTTTGTAGGTAATTTAATCCCCTACAAAAAAGTTCCTGTAACATTTTCTTCTAAGACAAGCGGTTCGCGAGATAAATGCAAACTAAACGGAAATGTTGAATTTTTTCGTTCGACGAAATGGAATTTCTTCGTCTTGTTGAATCATTGATTATCTCGGTAACGAGTGATTTTACGGAAAAAAGTTACGGTACATTTTCTGCGGGAAATTTAATTCTCTACAGAAAAGTTGTTGTCACATTTTTCGTAAAACGACTGGGTCACGAGATAAAAGCCGAATAAATGGAAATGTTGGATCTAACTGAATTGATTAATTTGTTAATTGCGGAATTGAACTGGAAAAATATCTGAAGACATTTTCTCGTTAGATTTTCATGCATTGTTAGACGTGGAATTATTTCGATTATGAAAGCTTTGTGGGGAAAATAACAGGGGAAAAAACATTTTTTTATGCAAATGAATGCAGAATAGAGAAAAACGCCGAGTTTAAGTGATTTGGGGGATTATGAATGATTTGACTCACTTGTGCATAAGTCACAGGTGTTGTTGCTGACGTGTAATACTGACTCGAGGCCGGGGTGTACATGGCTCCTGCCTCGCCGACAGCATACACTGGATATGTCCTGAAATTTCAATAATCCCAAGTTATTCGATGTCAATTGAACGATTTTTTTGGCTGTTCTGAATGCTTACATCTCTCCATTAGCAAGATTATAAGTTGAGCCATCTCCCTGGACGTATTGAACATATGTTGGATGGGATCCCGATTCAGACCCCACAGCTTCAGCGTCACCTGACACTGGAAATGTTTAAAATATCGATATTAATATTTCGCGTTACGCATGAGGAAATTGAGTTTAATTTTATTTTTACAATTGTATTTTCGCATGACGAAACCAATTAACTTTCAAAAGAATAGGCATAATATGTCGTTGGTATATTTATCCAAATAAATCGTTCGAACTTGATAGAAAATGTCTCAACGAACTAATCGAGCCCAAGTGCATTGAAATCTTACGGAATGTGTGACTTGGAGAAATGTTTATAAACTGGATTATAAGTGATATTTAACAATGTCAATGATTGACAATTAATGTTGATTCGATCGATTATTTCCAGTTGTGTTGCATTCAATTGGGCTTAATTAATCCCAGCCCCGAGGAGTAGAATAAATTTTCGAAAAAAAACTCCATTCTTGGGCTATGTTTAATATAGAAATCAATAAATTCCACTTGACTGGAACTCATAACGTTCAGGTGGATGTAACACCGCGGAAATTCGTCGATTTAATGAATACCAACTATCATTCGTTGAAATTGTTGAATACTACTAAAAATTCTGTCTACAAATGTTTCTTCAAGTCACTGTTTTTATCCTATTTCAATGTTATTGGGCTCATTATGTTCGTTGGAACATTTTTACAGTTGTATTTACACATGAGGAAACCAATCAACTTTTAAACAAATAGTCGTAATATTTCATTAGTGTATTTATCCAAATAAATCGTTCGAACTTGATAGAAAATGTCTCAACGAACTAATCGAGCCCAAGTGCATTGAAATCTTATGGAATGTGTGACTTGGAGAAATGTTTATAAACTGGATTATAAGTGATATTTAACAATGTCAATGATTGACAATTAATGTTGATTCGATCGATTATTTCCAGTTGTGTTGCATTCAATTGGGCTTAATTAATCCCAGCCCCGAGGAGTAGAATAAATTTTCGAAAAAAAACTCCATTCTTGGGCTATGTTTAATATAGAAATCAATAAATTCCACTTGACTGGAACTCATAACGTTCAGGTGGATGTAACACCGCGGAAATTCGTCGATTTAATGAATACCAACTATCATTCGTTGAAATTGTTGAATACTACTAAAAATTCTGTCTACAAATGTTTCTTCAAGTCACTGTTTTTATCCTATTTCAATGTTATTGGGCTCATTATGTTCGTTGGAACATTTTTACAGTTGTATTTACACATGAGGAAACCAATCAACTTTTAAACAAATAGTCGTAATATTTCATTAGTGTATTTATCCAAATAAATCGTTCGAACTTGATAGAAAATGTCTCAACGAACTAATCGAGCCCAAGTGCATTGAAATCTTATGGAATGTGTGACTTGGAGAAATGTTTATAAACTGGATTATAAGTGATATTTAACAATGTCAATGATTGACAATTAATGTTGATTCGATCGATTATTTCCAGTTGTGTTGCATTCAATTGGGCTTAATTAATCCCAGCCCCGAGGAGTAGAATAAATTTTCGAAAAAAAACTCCATTCTTGGGCTATGTTTAATATAGAAATCAATAAATTCCACTTGACTGGAACTCATAACGTTCAGGTGGATGTAACACCGCGGAAATTCGTCGATTTAATGAATACCAACTATCATTCGTTGAAATTGTTGAATACTACTAAAAATTCTGTCTACAAATGTTTCTTCAAGTCACTGTTTTTATCCTATTTCAATGTTATTGGGCTCATTATGTTCGTTGGAACATTTTTACAGTTGTATTTACACATGAGGAAACCAATCAACTTTTAAACAAATAGTCGTAATATTTCATTAGTGTATTTATCCAAATAAATCGTTCGAACTTGATAGAAAATGTCTCAACGAACTAATCGAGCCCAAGTGCATTGAAATCTTATGGAATGTGTGACTTGGAGAAATGTTTATAAACTGGATTATAAGTGATATTTAACAATGTCAATGATTGACAATTAATGTTGATTCGATCGATTATTTCCAGTTGTGTTGCATTCAATTGGGCTTAATTAATCCCAGCCCCGAGGAGTAGAATAAATTTTCGAAAAAAAACTCCATTCTTGGGCTATGTTTAATATAGAAATCAATAAATTCCACTTGACTGGAACTCATAACGTTCAGGTGGATGTAACACCGCGGAAATTCGTCGATTTAATGAATACCAACTATCATTCGTTGAAATTGTTGAATACTACTAAAAATTCTGTCTACAAATGTTTCTTCAAGTCACTGTTTTTATCCTATTTCAATGTTATTGGGCTCATTATGTTCGTTGGAACATTTTTACAGTTGTATTTACACATGAGGAAACCAATCAACTTTTAAACAAATAGTCGTAATATTTCATTAGTGTATTTATCCAAATAAATCGTTCGAACTTGATAGAAAATGTCTCAACGAACTAATCGAGCCCAAGTGCATTGAAATCTTATGGAATGTGTGACTTGGAGAAATGTTTATAAACTGGATTATAAGTGATATTTAACAATGTCAATGATTGACAATTAATGTTGATTCGATCGATTATTTCCAGTTGTGTTGCATTCAATTGGGCTTAATTAATCCCAGCCCCGAGGAGTAGAATAAATTTTCGAAAAAAAACTCCATTCTTGGGCTATGTTTAATATAGAAATCAATAAATTCCACTTGACTGGAACTCATAACGTTCAGGTGGATGTAACACCGCGGAAATTCGTCGATTTAATGAATACCAACTATCATTCGTTGAAATTGTTGAATACTACTAAAAATTCTGTCTACAAATGTTTCTTCAAGTCACTGTTTTTATCCTATTTCAATGTTATTGGGCTCATTATGTTCGTTGGAACATTTTTACAGTTGTATTTACACATGAGGAAACCAATCAACTTTTAAACAAATAGTCGTAATATTTCATTAGTGTATTTATCCAAATAAATCGTTCGAACTTGATAGAAAATGTCTCAACGAACTAATCGAGCCCAAGTGCATTGAAATCTTATGGAATGTGTGACTTGGAGAAATGTTTATAAACTGGATTATAAGTGATATTTAACAATGTCAATGATTGACAATTAATGTTGATTCGATCGATTATTTCCAGTTGTGTTGCATTCAATTGGGCTTAATTAATCCCAGCCCCGAGGAGTAGAATAAATTTTCGAAAAAAAACTCCATTCTTGGGCTATGTTTAATATAGAAATCAATAAATTCCACTTGACTGGAACTCATAACGTTCAGGTGGATGTAACACCGCGGAAATTCGTCGATTTAATGAATACCAACTATCATTCGTTGAAATTGTTGAATACTACTAAAAATTCTGTCTACAAATGTTTCTTCAAGTCACTGTTTTTATCCTATTTCAATGTTATTGGGCTCATTATGTTCGTTGGAACATTTTTACAGTTGTATTTACACATGAGGAAACCAATCAACTTTTAAACAAATAGTCGTAATATTTCATTAGTGTATTTATCCAAATAAATCGTTCGAACTTGATAGAAAATGTCTCAACGAACTAATCGAGCCCAAGTGCATTGAAATCTTATGGAATGTGTGACTTGGAGAAATGTTTATAAACTGGATTATAAGTGATATTTAACAATGTCAATGATTGACAATTAATGTTGATTCGATCGATTATTTCCAGTTGTGTTGCATTCAATTGGGCTTAATTAATCCCAGCCCCGAGGAGTAGAATAAATTTTCGAAAAAAAACTCCATTCTTGGGCTATGTTTAATATAGAAATCAATAAATTCCACTTGACTGGAACTCATAACGTTCAGGTGGATGTAACACCGCGGAAATTCGTCGATTTAATGAATACCAACTATCATTCGTTGAAATTGTTGAATACTACTAAAAATTCTGTCTACAAATGTTTCTTCAAGTCACTGTTTTTATCCTATTTCAATGTTATTGGGCTCATTATGTTCGTTGGAACATTTTTACAGTTGTATTTACACATGAGGAAACCAATCAACTTTTAAACAAATAGTCGTAATATTTCATTAGTGTATTTATCCAAATAAATCGTTCGAACTTGATAGAAAATGTCTCAACGAACTAATCGAGCCCAAGTGCATTGAAATCTTATGGAATGTGTGACTTGGAGAAATGTTTATAAACTGGATTATAAGTGATATTTAACAATGTCAATGATTGACAATTAATGTTGATTCGATCGATTATTTCCAGTTGTGTTGCATTCAATTGGGCTTAATTAATCCCAGCCCCGAGGAGTAGAATAAATTTTCGAAAAAAAACTCCATTCTTGGGCTATGTTTAATATAGAAATCAATAAATTCCACTTGACTGGAACTCATAACGTTCAGGTGGATGTAACACCGCGGAAATTCGTCGATTTAATGAATACCAACTATCATTCGTTGAAATTGTTGAATACTACTAAAAATTCTGTCTACAAATGTTTCTTCAAGTCACTGTTTTTATCCTATTTCAATGTTATTGGGCTCATTATGTTCGTTGGAACATTCTCTATTGACAAACTTATTTTATTTTTACAGTTGTATTTACACATGAGGAAACCAATCAACTTTTAAACAAATAGTCGTAATATTTCATTAGTGTATTCATTCAAATAAATTTCAACTTGGCAAAACAAACAAACAAACAAAAAATTACACCGAAAATTTCCAAAGGGGAGAAATAAATTCTCACCTGTTACTGTGATATAGTGAGGCGATCCACTGACAATAGTCCCAGTCGATGTGGAAGCAACGTCCGAGTCAATCAGGGTATGTTGTCCCGAGTGTGTTGTATTCACCACAACTTGTGCTGTTACGTGGGCTGCTGTACCTGATGAACCATTAGACGAGTCTGCTGCTGTTTCCAATGGATCTTGCACCACCAACTGCAAACATTATTCCGTTAATTTACCACCTCCGGTTATCGTTTATGTTTCGAATAGTCGTTTGCATTCATCGACTATCGAGACGGGCTATCCAATTCTCATGGTTTTTAGTCTGTTATCAGAATGTTCACGCGTGATGGAGAGATATCAATTATTGATTTCCATCGTTATCTCTCGAGTTTATAATTTTAGAAAAGTAACGCGAAAGAATTTCTCGTCATTATTACTTTGATTTTATTCAATTTTTTCAACAAGATTTAAGGAAAAACAAAAGTAAAATGTTGAATTTCATTTTTCGACGAAATCCAATTTTTCCATCTGCTTAAATCGTTAATTATCTCGGTAAGGAGCGACTTTAGGGGAAAAAGTCACTCAAAATTTTTTGTGAAAAAATCAATTCTCCACAAAAAAGTTTATATGACATTTTCCTCTAGAACGCCTCATTCACGAAATAAATCCAGAATAAGCAAAAATGTTGAATTTAATTTTTCGACGAAATCCAATTTCTCCATCTGCTTAAATCGTTAATTATCTCGGTAACGAGTGACTTTGAGGAAAACAGCCACAAGCACTTTTCCGTGGAAAATTGAATTTGCTACAAAAAATTTCTTGCGACATTTTCCTCTAAAACGTCTCATTCGCGAGATAAATGCAGAATAAATGAAAATGTTGAATTTGTTATTTTAATTAACGCCAAAACAAACCTGTATCGGCTGTAGATTATTACTATTAGACGGATCAGGACTAGTGACAACAGTGATGAGTTGACCCCTTGCTCCTTGGCTCTGTGCAACACTACCACTTGCACTTGTACTTGAAGTTGTGACAACGACAACGCTCGGTTTGCTATCCGCCTCTACAACCGTAGAATTACCCCCGCCATGGCTGGCTGTTGTGGATGCTGCTAAAGCGTACTGAGCTCCAGTTGTAGTCATGGCAATGAGTCCCTCGATTGTCCCGCTATTCGCAATATTACAGTCGCCTTCACGGTTTGATGTAAAGGGCCTCTGTAACAGGTAAAAAAAGGGGGGGGATGAATTGAGAAAATCCGTGAAACAGCTGGTTGAGCTTTCCAGCATTAGCTTCCACGTGAGAGATCAGGAGTCTCGATTCCCCTAACTGATGGGAGGGGGGAGGGGGACGTGGGGAGACAATCGCAGGTGGAGAGATGGGTTTTGACAAAGAGAATTGGGGAAATAGTGTTCGAATGAGTAATTATCATATTAATGTCATCAAATGTGACAGTTTTTCTACTGTTTCGATGTTGACGAAGTTATTTTATTTTTACTGTTGTTCCACATGACGAAACCAATCGAATTTTATGCAGATGGGCATTATATTTCATTAGTGTATTTATCCAAATAAATTGCATTGAATTGTATTAAGTAAGAGCCCAAGTGCATTGAAATCTGATGGAGTGTGTGACTTGGAGATATTTTTATAAACTCGATTATAAGGGATATTTAATAATGTCAATGAGTGAATTCAGTAGCGAAGCGGTAAAACGGTTTAAGTCGATTTTAGCTTTTGGTCAGTTTTCAATGAATATCTCGGAATCCAAGGCAAATAGTAAAATTTTCGTTATAACCTTGTTTGTAGAGCGAATTGAGATCTAGGAAAAAGCTAACATACAAAGCCACATTCGTCAGAAAATACTTTGTGGACCTTGTGATGAAAATAAGTATTTTAGGCACTATTTAGGTGCCTAAAACGTCCCTTTTCCACACATTGTGATGAAAAATATTGTTCGATACTCGTGGGAAAAGTGTTTTTCGGCACTCGTAACGAAATATACTATTTTCTCTCAGTGAAGAGAGTTTTTGCCTAGTCTACTCGATTCGTTCGTCGCGAAAAAAAAAAAAAGAAAAGAAAATCCTTCCTTCTCGAATTCTTCAGACGATTTCAACCCCCGGAACCCAGTGACCACCCACACAACCGTACGCATCGTGCGTTCGTTACCTAGTTACAGGTGCGCGTGGCAGAGCATTTAATAATCCTCGGATCAAAGGGGGAAGACCTCGCTAGGGGGTAGTCTCGTATAATACGTTGCATTGAAGTTTTACCCATCACCCTCAGCTCTATTTCGCTTTTCCCCCGTATTTTTCTGTACCTCTTGGAGTAGCAGGTACCAAACACATTATGAAAACATGAGAGGCGGTGGTGGAGAGGGGGAGGGGGCGGGGGGGGG